TCTCTCTCTCTCTCTCTCTCTCTCTCTCTCTCTCTCTCTCTCTCTCTCTCTCTCTCCATGACCTCATTGGCTCTGACAGATAGGAGTATATCACAGTATTCCTTGTAGCTCACTGAGCACTGGATTGTTAGCTATCTATTTTCTGTGGGTCACTGGATCAATTCTACGATGGGAAGAAGAAGGCTAAGGAAAGTCACAGGTCTAAGCCAAATTCTTCACGCCAAGATTATTAGGAAAAAAAATCAAACGGTTTCACCCTTGAGTGCTTAGAGTACTTGAGTGTCTTAGAATTTGGGTGGAAATGGTAAGGCTTTCACTGCCAATACGCATAGACTGTGTAGTGATGATGACTGTAACCAATCACAAACAAGCAAATGCGAACTGGTCCTTTCCGATCTAGGTATATGCTTTTGTACTTTCTTTTTCTTTCTGACTCTGTCTCTCTCTCTCTGTCTCTGTCTCTCTCTGTCTCTGTCTCTCTCTGTCTCTGTCTCTCTGTCTGTCTCTGTCTCTGTCTCTGTCTCTCTCTCTCTCTCACACACACACACACACACACACATCTAGGTATATGCTTTTGTACTTTCTTTTTCTTTCTGACTCTGTCTCTCTCTCTGTCTCTGTCTGTCTCTGTCTCTCTCTGTCTCTATCTCTCTGTCTGTCTCTGTCTCTGTCTCTGTCTCTGTCTCTCTCTCTCTCACACACACACACACACACACCACACTCTCACATCCCTGGAACCATCCTAGTTCAGCACCGGGCACACAGACCTGGATGAGCTCAGCGGCTGGCTTCCTTCTCTTCTCAAAGTGCTTCTGACGGTGCTGCTCCTGTACCTTGAGTGCCAGTCCTGAGCCAAGGATGCCCTGCAAGGAGACATCAAACCAGTGTCAGCTGCACCAGGTTCTCTCAGTATCCCAGCCTCATTTCTGGAGAGCAGAGAAGATAGGGTTCAACGACGCTCTGAAGCCTGTGCTGTCATTTGAACTAAAATGTCACCCACAAATTCATGTGTTTGAAAACTCGGTCCTTAGCTGGTGGCCCTTTAGGAAAGTTGTGGAACCTAGAGGAGCCTTACTGGAGGGATTAAGTCAATGGAGGTGGGTCCAGGTGTTTGTAGCCTGGCCATATGGCTTGTTCAGTCTGCTTCTTGACCGTTCATGTGATGTGACCAGTTCCTTCCCTTTCCTGCCACCACACCTTCCTTGCCACAGTGAACTGAACTGTATCCCCTTAAACTGTAAGGAAAAAAAACAATTTACCCTATTTACATTACTTTTTTGCCAGGTTTTTGTAACAAGACAAGGGGTTTTGCAGTGTGATACTAGGTGGAGGAGAAAAGGGAGAAAGCCTCCTTTCTGTTCCTGGAGTAGGGAGTCTGGTTAAGTGAAATATGTCTGGCTTCCAATCTGATAGACAGAGTCCAGCTGTGAGACCCTGGGCTCATCTCGTCTCTATCTTTCATAGAACCTTTGGTTAAGAGTGCATACCTCACAATGATCTCAGGAAATTCCTAGCTGATAAATAGCGATTGCTCCAGGAAGTGATGTGACACAGAATATGATACAGTAATCGAATTTTAAAATGTTTTAGCTGCTTGAATTGTCCCTGGGGGCATGTACTATAGGCAGAGTTTCCAAGAATTGAATCTGCTTTGATTTCCAGGTCAGATACCCCTGTGGACTAAGTAGATAGACACATGCATTTAATATGAAAGAGAATTAGAGATGGCACGGTACCCAGCCCATCCTGTGACAGTTTCAGAGGTGAGAAAACAAGTTCAAGAAGATCATAGAAAAAGCTGACTAGCAGAGGAAAACACGCGTAAGTTGACTAATATAGGAGAAAGAAATTCTCCAGGAAAGGAGTGGGGATGGAGGAGCAGCAGAGGGGTTGTGGTTTAAGAATGCTGTCTTCAAGTTGCATGACAACTGGGCAGGCTTTAGAATTGGCCTGGATTGGGGCTCCTGACTCCCCATCCCAGGAACGTTTGAAGTTTGAAACGAAATTTATGCCCTGGCAATGCTGAAGCATGCATGGGCAGCCCATATATGGCGGTTCTGTTTAATTTATCCATAGTGGATTTCATGGTCTAAGTTGTTGAAGACGACTGACCAGGTCTCTTTCTCAAGAGGTCACCAGATCTCATTATGGATGGTTGAGAGCCACCATATGGGACTTGAACTCAGGATCTTTGGAAGAGTAGGCAGTGCTCGTAACCACTGAGCCATTTCTCCAGCTCCCCAGGAATGTCTACTAACCTTTAATTGGCCCTCAGTTTTTAACTCATACTATTGGAATGAAGACTAAATGAGATGACGCCCAGGAAACATTTGGCATGATTTGGGCACACACTGATTCCAATGGGAGCTTAGAGCGTTAACCTTTTAAGTTAAAGATAAAGTTTATTTCCACTCTCATTACACCATTTTGGGGTGGGGGGATCTCTCTCTCGTTACCCCATTTTGGGGGATCTCTCACAGGTCTAGAACTACTTCAAAAACTTAAGGCAGCAAGTGTCAGACCAAAGAAAGGAAATTCAAATTTGAAATATCTGTTCTATGTAAGGTTTTGGATATCAATAGACAAAGACAGAACTCTTGGACCCAGTGATATCAGTCTTTGAGAGCAGACAGAGATGCAAACCTGCAAACGCACATGGAGTCAGAATACTCCTGAGTCAGAGGGGTACTGACTCAGACTGGAGATAGTATTACTGGTTCCGGCCCTTAGAAAACAAGGGGGTATTTGAAAGCACCACTCCCGGAGCAAGGTAGCAACGCAAGCCACCATGGGGGAGGAGTGAGACAATCCATGCCTGAGGTAACAGCTGATGAAATGATAGGATGTGGAGCCAAGGATACAAAAGGGTGAAATCTGAGGCCGGGGATTTGAGCTGGGTCTAGGCAGTAAAGGGAACTTCCTGTCGCACACGAAGAGAACTTACTGCTGGAAGGGCAAAAAAGGAGACGCCAATTAAGGAAAAGGTGGCAGCAATCAGACGTCCTTCCCAGGTTTTAGGTGTCTTGTCTCCGTAGCCGATGGTGGCCAGTGTGATCTGAAAAGGAGAAGAGTTCAAACTGGGTGTCCCCAGGTAGGGGACATCAGTGACAGTACACAGAGCTCTGCAACAGCCTCTGTGCTCTCTCCTTCTCTTCTCCCTGTCTGTATCTTGTGTGTGTGTGTGTGTGTGAGTGTGTGCGTGTGTGTGTGTGCGTGTGTGTCTGTGTGTGCGTGTGTGTGTCTGTGTGTGTACGTGCGTGTGCATGTGTGCGTGTGCGCGTGTGTGTCTGTGTGTGTGCGTGTGTGTGTGCGTGTGTGTCTGTTTGTGTATACAGTTGCTTCTCTATCACCTTGGGTTCTACATCTTTGGATTTAACCAACTATGCTTCAAAATATCTGAATAAAAAACAAATGATAGCATAATAAAAATAATGCAAATAAGAACTGCAGCCCATCAACCATTTACACAGTATTTACATGTCATTAGGCACTAAAAGTAATTTACAGACGATTCAAACACATAGAAGGATGTGTGTGGTTGGTATGCAAATGTTAACAATGTTTTCTGGAAGGGATGAGTATCTATATATTTTGCCATTTTCAGAGACGTGGAAGAAATTGAAATCAATTTCCTGTTACACCAGGGAAGGACCGTATTTGTGAATGTATGGATTTAAGCACAGCCATGTTATGAGTTGTGTTTGTGAGTGTATTTGTATATGTCATCATGTGTACATGGCTCTCTGTCCATGTGTCTATCCCGAGTAGTAGATTTCAGTGTGTAATTATGTATGTATCAAGACACAGTTTCCTTCTATATGTGTCTTCAGGTCTATGTGTAATGCACGTCTCTAATACTATACCTCTTTGTGTCCTATGGCTTGACTGATGACTGCCTATGACTAACAAGGCCAGGTCCCAGGAAACCATGCAAATAGACTCTTCTGAGCTCTCGTTTCTTCAAGCTCTACAGAAAACTGCTCTAGGTACCTTCATCATCAGTAGACGTTTCCTGTTTCCTCTCTGTAGATTTGGATGACAAATGAAGCCGACTAAGTTTGCCCATGCTCTGCCTTTCACCTCGCTATGCATCTAGCAGTCAAGTTTCCACGTAACCTCCCCAGGGCTGCCTTTCAACGCAAGTGACTCACCAGACCCCACCACAGGGCATCTGCATAGGTCTCAAACTCCTCTTTCATCTCCTCTCCTTGGGCGTCCACCTCTGGCACATCCTTCTCCACCAGGTAGACAAGAAATGAAGAAAGGATGAGTGTCAGGAAGCCGATGTACCAGGCAGTGATGAGTTCCTGGAACAGCGAACAACAGAGGGAATCAGTCGGAAACCCTCAGGTGGTAGCCTGAGCTAGGCAGTCTGGAACAGGACTGCGAGTTTACCAGCTTTCTTCTCTGAGTCTCATCTCTCAGCAGTGGGAAACAGGACCAAGAATACAAACATTTTCATCAGCGACTAGACTCTTGCAGGCCCTGGGAGGAGAGGGAGATTCCATGGTAGGTGACCAGATGTCACAACTCAGAAGGCTTCATGGGAAGTTAAGTAACCAGGAGAAACTGGTTATTGTCATAGACAAGCTCAGAGTTGCTCAGCGGTCTTTATGTGTTACAGAATTGCGATGAGCAGGACAAAAGCTCACCTCCATGTAAAAATTAGCAGCCACGGGCAGCTAATGTGGTCCAGAAGACAAAGCCATAGACAGGGACATATTCCTGCCAATGCTTCACTGTATGATCCAAGGGAGAACTATACTCTATTATCTATGTACAATATCCTAATTTTCAAAATTAAAAAAAAAAAAACTAGACCAAAGGGGCCTGAAGTTATCCTGGATACCAATGGTGGAATTCAGAAAAAAAAAAAAAACCACTTATATATTGAGTGATCTTACATATTAGAATATATGAAAAGTAACACATAAGAGACGTATGAGATGTGTGATTTCATGGGTGCTGTCACACAGTAAGATGTAAACAAGACGAGTGATTAAAAGGACACACTAACTCAAGGAGAATAGAGAGGGCAAAGACAAGCCAATCACTGGAATTTCAAAAGCCCTGGATGGATGGAAATGATTCCTGGGGGGTCTCTGATGCTTTAAGTGCTCTGATGCTCTCCCATCAAGACTAGCATGGTAGAGTGGGCGAGGAAAGGGAATGTCTATGGGTGAGCCGTTTGTGTTCCTCCTGAAGCCTCTCAGAGAGCTATGTTGGCAGAGCTGTCCTTCCTATGGCGGTCCATTGTTAGCCTGCCGCCTTAGGTCATAGAGTCTCACTGACTGGGTTGCCTCTCTTATCACCTTGGCTCACATAGTCCCGGCTGACCATACTACCCTTGTCCCAAGGGCCCAATGAAGAGTCCCTACTCAGCTACATTTACCTGTAACCTACACTATGGTATTTTCCAGGATAGTTTTATTGCATTACAGAGAGTGCTGTGATCTGAATGGGAACTACCCTCCATAGGTTCAGGTCTGGGACACCTCCCTCCTGGCTGGTGGTGGTAATTTGGGAAGGTATGGAAACTTTGGGAGGTGGGACTTAGCTGGTAGAAATAGGTCACTCAGGGTGAGACTTTGAAAGTCTTCCTTGGTTTCAGATTCCAGAGTCTTAACCTCCACATCCTGCTGTGATGTGAACAGCCTTTATCACACAGCCCTGCTGCCACAGCCTCAGGGGCTCTGTCCGACCTTCCCCACAATGGCGTACTGAAACTCTGACACAGTACATCAAAATGCATCTTTCCTTCCTCTCTGTTTCTCTCGGGTGTTGTGTAAGATCAGTGTCGGGGTAACAGGGAGAGTTCAGTGGTGTTCCCTCATAGCTTCAGTGATTTTTAATCCGTCTGCTTCTCTAATGCTGTTAGGTTTCTCGGCTCCCAGCCTTGTCTTCCCCACAGCATTCTACACACACTGCACTCCTGTAAGTTCACACACGCAATGCAGGAGGGTCTCCTCTGAGCGTCTGCCCTGAAGGAGATAGGAGAGCGGAAAGAGAGTTGCGTGTTTCTTCCCTAGGGGCTGGCTGAACACCTGTCTCCTGCTTTGCAGGCTACGGCAAGGAACCTTTGCCTCCCAGGCCCCTGCAAGCCGGAAGACTCATTGGTGGATTCTTTAGAAACAGCTGCTTGATCACGTGCAACATGCAGATCCACCAGCTGTGCAGGGTTATTAAGACACGGTCTACTGGTTGACACTGGCAGCTAACGTGGGCTCTTCAAGGGAACTCTGACTTTATCTAATTTTTGCCTGCAGCTCTGTGGCAGAGCCTGTTCCCTCACATGCCAAGGATCCTAGCAGTTAGCCTTGGGATCAAGGGACCCATGTCCAGTCAGTGTTTGGAAGCAAGGGAGCAAATCCTTTCCTGTTTTTAAAAATGCTCTCTGTAGGATCTGTGAGGCCTTCCTTTCCTGACTTGGTGACTCAGGCTCAGTTTCCTGATACGCGAGACCTAGTTAGCATACCTGATGCTAGAAGCAGGAACCAGCATTATGCATTAGATTGGTAGAGACCCTGCCGCATATGTGTCCTGGAAGCAATGTTTGGTCTGTCCTAACTATAGGATCAACTTGAAAAGTCTCACCCTAGCTACACGGGCTTCCATCTCTGTATTCCTGAGTGTCAGAGGAGTCAAGCACAGAACTTGGCCCAGAGTGCAAAGAATGAATTTTAAAAGACCCCAAAGTGACACAGAGTTCAGATCGAAATTAGTCTGTGCAACTCCCAAACCTTCCCCTCCTGTCCATGTTACCTTGTGTGAACTCTCTACCCTTTCAACCACGGGGAGGTATAGGCATTACCTCTGAGCTATTGAATCCTCAATGGTTATCCCCACTTCAGAAATGAGGAAACGGAAGGTCAGTAAGGGGTGAGTGATTTAGCCAGTTATTTGCATATCATGGATTTGAGACCTAAACCCAGGTCTGCCTGTGGTTCACATCTTCTCTGGAGCACACCCACATAAACTTCTCCTCCCACTTCCTCATCTTTCTCCTTGTTGTTCTCATTACCATGGTCAGTGTTGGAAGCACGCCTACCCTCAGGGATACTATAGGAAGAGGTAACATAGAACGGTACAGGTAGGAAAGAAGCCTGCGTCGCATCGTAGCTTCTCCATCACACTTACTTTGCTGTGGGCACAGATAGCTGAGCCCAGGAGCTTCCAGGTGCCGCCCCTCCTGTCCATCCGCAGCATGCGCAGGATCTGCAGGAAGCGCAGGCTTCGCAGGGAGGTGGCCAGGACATTGCCCTGGTTTCCCACGGCAACCACGGGCACAGAGGCAATCAGCACGAAGATGTCTGGGAAAGAGGACAGACCGTGGTAGAAAACAGGGAGGGGGTCATGAGGAGGAAAGACACCATCCCAAGCACTCGCTGTGTAGGGGAAGATGAACATGTGTCAAGCAGGGACTGACCTAAGCAGTTGTGCTGAATTTGACACCAACCACCAGAAATGGATTCTGTTGTGAATGATGAGAGACAGAAACTCCAAGCACAAATGACATCCCAGGAGTTAAGCAAAGACCCCCATTAGACTTCAGCTCTGGTTCTAGACTCAGAGGTACAGTTTCTCAAAGTCCCTTGTGTGGCACTTGGCAGTTGAGTTGTGGAGAAGAGGGAATTGGGGGTTGTTTGGGATAAAGAAGAAAAGCCAGATTTTTAGAGACCGTTTTAAGGTGTTTTTTTTCTGAGTGTGCAGGACACGAGATGGGAACTTGGCTGTGATATTTTGAGTGATTAGTGAAGGGGAACAGGATGCCTCCAAAACTGTTATATTGGGGTGGTGTGGTGGTTTGAATGAGAATGGACCCCACACTCTCATATATTTGATTGCTTGGCCCCCGTTAGAGGAACTGTTTGGGAAGGGTTAGGAAGTATGGTCAGAAGAAGGTGTGGCCTTGTTGGAGGGGGTGTGCCACTGGGGAAAGGCCACATAAGGCCCAGTTGCGCTCTCTCTCTCTCTCTCTCTCTCTCTCTCTCTCTCTCTCTCTCTCTTTCTTTGACAGCTGTCTGCATATCAGGACGTAAGCTCTTAGCTACTGCTCCAGCACCATGTAGATCACTGTGCTCCCCATCATGATGGTTATGGACTAACCATTGGAAATCATAAGCCAACCCCAGTTAAATGCTTTCTTTAACAAGTCACCTTGGTCATAGCATTTCATCACAGCGATAGAATGGCAACTAAGACTGGTGGAATCTGCGGCTCACCAATTATGAGACTGGAAGGACTCAGTTTTGTGAACTTTAGTGTCTAGTTCTATAAAACAGGTAAAGTGTAGTTGGAGAGAAGGACAACCTCAATTATCAATGGTGTGGTACTTCCTATCCCTGATGGCCTGGAAGACACTGGTGATTAGAGCTATAGAGAGTGACTGAGTGTGCTACTAGTCTAGGTACTGAGAACACAAACTACCTGGTGCTCTGTGGCTTCCTTACAACCCAAATGCTAGTAACCTCAGCCCCCAACCACTGAGATCCACTCTCCTTATTACATTTCAAGGAACAGTCCCAGGAGATGGAGTTTCAACACCATCTGCATTCATACAACTTCCTTATAGAAAGAGTGTAAGAAAGAGACTAAGGCCACCACCGGACTCCATTGTCAAGGCTTACCCAACATGCACAGGGGCTTCCTGGCAAACTTCAGCCGTCCGCGCCAGCCTTTGTATCGACAGCAACATCCGGCGGCCCAGATCCTCAAAGCAAACTCAGCTCCAAAAATGAAAATAGCAAATGTCTCCTGCACGAAAGAGCATATGGAGTGAGGTTACCCAGTACCCAGTGTCAGGACTTCTGAGATCAGAGGTACTGGGTTTCTGCTGCTGCTACTCTGGAGGTGAGTGTGCCAGGGCCAGAGAAGGGAAGACAGGTAGACCACCTCCGTCCAGTCTTCATCTTGGCATGTTAACTATCCATGCCAAACTAACCCGTGTCTGTTTCTTTTCCAAAGATTCCACCCCAACCAATTATTTTGAAAGTCCCTTGAATTTATTAAAAATCCCGAAGGGGTAAGGTCAAACACAATCTGCCAATCTTCTCCAGGATGCTCAGACACTGGCATGACAAGCCGGCCAATGATGCTCACCTCTGCTTTTGGGTCAGTCATCGCCTCGAGAGTGTCTTAGTATTGTTCTTAGTGTTTACGTTTTGAGAAATCGAAGGGGGCTCAGGGTTTAGGGTGGAGTATGACTTTAGGTGAACTTTTGGAGGGCCAAAAATCTTATCATTTGATACATGATGGTTTTGGCTTGGACTTGTATGTCCGCCCCTTGTTTCTGTCCAGAACGGTGAATTATCATGAGGAAGGCTACATCTACTTTACACCTGGCCAAGCAAGGGAACCATTGTTTTTGCTTGGACCTAAACTTGGCTAGAGATAGCAGGATACTAGTTTCCAGATGTTAACTCCCTACAGCTGAAAGTGACTTATAGCTTCCACCCCTGAGGACAATGACAATGGCCCGGAGCTCACCAGCAGCAAAAGCCAGTCTCCAGACACAGTCTCGTACTCCTTGAAGGTGGTGAGCACAGCCAGAATCAAGCATCCCAGGACAATCAGGAACCTAGAGGGAAGGAGGAAAGAAGAAAGGAGCTTTAGTCCTGGCTGGTCCAGCAGGTCATGGCAAAAAATGTCAGCGAGTACACTGGGCAGTATCACACGCTTTATAGGTTACCACATTTATTTCCCACATCACCCCTGGAGGTGGATAAGGTGATGAACAAGGCTGAAGAGGTCACACAAGGTGCACATTGTTAGTTAATCAGCTACTTGAGGGAATCAGCTACTTGGCTTTTGTTGATTTTTGGTGTCTTGGAACATAGTTTCTGATCAATATACCTGATGATCTGCCAAGCTGTATCTCCATCTCCAACCCTGTCTAGAAATTTAACCACAATCACCAGACCCTTGAGTGTGTTAGGCCTTTTATTTGAAATGACCAACTCCAAAAATCTACCCACTTTGTGCCCCAAATTCTCTTCTCAGGGGATAATGGGGGTGTTGGTGGTAGTGATATTGATGATGGCAACACCATCACCCCTCACTACATTCGGTCAGCGCCTGCCTCCTGCTATTACACACTTGTCAGTTCATCATCCTTAAAGTAACACTCAAGGCCAATATGACCCTTCTCCCTCTGCATAGTGTAAAAGGTTAAATGCTTGGCCCCACAGCACAAAACACCAATCCAGCTCCGCGAGATTTGCCTTTAGTTGGGATTGAGCAAGGAAGTGTATTCCGAGGCTGGGTGGGTGCACAAAGAGAAATTTGGTGTTCCAGAGGTGAACTCATGCGACAGAAGTAGAAGCCTTTCCTCAGGTGGTCACCCTCTTCCTCTATCTCTCATCGGGTGTGCATGCAAGCCTGGGGATGACTCCACAAGACTCGTGTGGGTATTCCCAGTGACTCAATGCCTCGAACAATTGCCTCATTCAAGTACAAGCAGACCCCAAGACTCATTCCTTCTTTGCTTGCTTTGTTATAGTCATGCCTGTGACTGTGTCACACTGCATGGGTCCCCATCTGCACAGACTGAAGCTAAAGTATCTTTCGCTGGCATTGTACAGGGCCTGTGAGGGTTACATGTGGCTGAGTGCCGCTGTGGCTCATGGGGTCTGACCTCTGCTCCCAGTTCCTGATAACATAAAAGTAGGACTTGCCCTCCAACACCAAGAATTGGTCATCAATCATCCAAAAAGAAACACAGCCCTCCCAATCCTCAATTGCTGCTCTGTGAAGCCTCAGCATAGGGCCCAATTAGATCACTGATGCTCAGAAACTGAGTTACAGAGAGAAATGGTATCATTACAATCCACCAAGATAGTGGCAATTTGGGAGACAGAGTGATAGAAAATTCAGTGTAGAATGGGAATCTGCCAAGTGTGTCTAACTTTCAGAGTTGGATGACCATGTGATCTGGGTTGCTTGGACTGTCAAACTCCACCCCTGGACAGCAGAGAATGTACCAGTTCCTGTCTGTACCCAGTGATGACCTCAGGGCTCAGTGCCCAAGTAACCCACAGTCGCTTAAATAACGCATCAAAGTGACTTCAGTAATTTCTTGTTGCTGGCATCAAAGACACAGAACACACAGACACACACAGACACACACACACACACACACACACACACAGTTCTTCACACAAACATGAGCACATAAATGCAATACACAGGTACCGGCACATATACACACACATATAGGTTATTGGATTGGTAGAATACTCACCTAGCATATATCAATTTCTTGTTTCAATCCCTAGTAATACACACACACACATGCACGCATGCGTGCACACACACACACAGTGTATTGATAGAACACCTGCCTAGTATGTGTCAGGTTCTTGCTTTAGTCTCCTTGTGCCACATGTGAAAACACACACACACACACACACACACACACACACGGTATCTACATATAAGCGCTTCCCTTTCTTCCCTTTATCTGTGGTTACTTTTTGTGGTTTTAGTCATTCATTGTTAGCCTAGTCTAAAATTACTAACTGCCAACTCCAGAAATCAGCCATGGATGGATACTAAATTATTTCATTACAATTTATTACTGTAAGTGTTCTACTTTATGTTGGTGATGGCCATTAATCTTTTACTGTGCTTACTTTGTAAATTAAACATTAACATTGGCGTGCAGTATAGATAGAAAAATAAAGTATAAGTAGTTTGGTTTTATCTTCCATTTGGGCATTCACAGGGCACACTTGCACATACTAACTATGGACAGTGGAGGCATCTATATCTACATCTGTGGACAGAAGTCAGCTCAACAATGGCTGTGGTCAATGATTGATGTCCTGACTGGCAATACCAGAGGGCTGAGGAGTTGACAAGCGGCTCCTGAAAGAGAATCCCCCTGCAGGGTGATGGGTAAGAGTAAGAGGACCACACTGAGAACCTTGTTGCTAGGGAAATACTGAAAACCAACGTAAGGAAGCTGTGGGGTGGCCTCAGGCCCGAGAAGATGAGAAGCTTCATGTGGATCTGATGCACTTGAGGTCCAAGTGAAATTCCACATTTTGTCAATAAAAATCTAAGTTCAAAGTTTATGAGAGGCTGATATCCTGAATAGCCTGTGCGAGGAGTACTGCAGCTCTATCTCACACCACGCAGTTTCAACCTAGTTCTTATCAGCCCACAGCATGCAGAACCTGGACTCTGCCAGCAGGGGGCAGCCAACCACTACAAACTGGTTGTGCACGTCCTTCCTCGCCAGTGTTAATGGAATCTACTTTCTGAAACTGGAGAAAGACCAGTAATTTATGAAATGGAAATCATCCAGGAAGCCCTTCTAACCTTGAGGAGGGGAGACATTTTTTTTTTTAGCTTCTTGAAAATTTCAAAATGTCTTTGAAGGAACTCAATTTCAGCAGTCAGTCTGTATGACAGAGGCCTGATGTATCTGGGCAGCAACAGTCCTGCCCTCCACTTTCCTTCCTGTCTTGTACACTCCGGGTGCCTCACTGAGCCCTCTTCTACTTCCCTCCTTTGCTCTTCGTCCATTTGGGCTCCCTTTCCATAGCCCTGACTGCACCTCCCCTTCCCTCTCACTACTCCACTCATCCCAATGTCTCTTCCTCCACTTTTTCTCTTCCCTCCCACCTTTGGCTCTGTGATCACATCTTCTCCCTCCCCTCTGTGGTCTTCAGGCTCAGAAGGAGAGATTTTGACAGAGTTCCCCATGGAGATCCCCCAGGGTCCTTCAGTCTACAGTACTAGGCTGTGATTGAGAGCAATGCTGGTCAGTGTCAAGGCGACCCTTATGCCCACTGTCTCGTCCATGTGTCTCTTCAGTACTCTTTTCTTATCCTCTATTATCCTTCAGCCAAGGTGGAGCTGGAGGAGTTGGGTAGAGGCACAGAGGGGCCATCCTTCTAAACTGTATGGCCGCAGTGATCAGTACAAGGCCCAGTGCGTCCTATCTAGGTCCGCTCAGTACCAGACAGACCTCCAGGCAGGAGGACACAGGCCACTTCTCAGACATGGAGGTGAAGGAAAACTTGTCACGACTCTGAGCTAAAGAGGTGGACAATGTCCACATTTATGTCGCCATCCCCATATGGTGTTCTCTCTTGAGAATTTCTCCTGAGAAGATCATGGGGGCATGGAAATGTCACTTCTTCATATACATCCGCGTACAGATGAGGCCCGAGCTTCCAAGCTCAGGTGCCAGTGTCGTCAGGACAATAAAAGACTCCCTTTTGTTAAAAGCCAGGAGGAGACCTTGATGGAGAATCTGCAGGGGATGTACATGGCAGAGGATGGCAGCTGGCCACCCCATTTATCTGGGAGATCAGTTCCCTTTCTGCTCCTCTGGACTTCCACATTTAGGAAGTCTCTGACCAGACACCCCACTAGTCCCCTTTACTGGAAGTGGTTCTGGGGAAACTTTCCTTCATCAGTGGCTCCAACAAGTCCTACAAAGTCAGGGAGGCAGGCAGCAGCTGGACCCACTGGATTATCCTTAGAGCTCCTACACTGAAAGGGGTGAAGGAGTGGCCATCTTAGCCAGGTGCAGGCAGACTGAACTACCAGAGCAGGTGTGGCTGGTTCTCTCCTACCTGACCAGACTCAGGGTGCCACCACGGGTCCTAGCTCTGGAGAGATGAAGTATCCGCAATGCATGGGTGGACACCTTCAGACCACATCAGAACCCTACTGGTCCTTCAGTGAAATCTGCTGTGTGCCAGGCTGTTGTTCTTCTTTCATTTATTTTCACGGCTTTGATTTTTACTGATATATAATATGCATTTCATGAGGCTTAGTGTGGGGCTTTGATTTATGTAGGTACATGCTGCATAGCAAGCAATGTGAGGCAACCAGCATGCCACCTTCAGTGCGCCACCTATTTACAGTGACTGCAATCAAAACAGACTAAACGTGTCTTGTTCTCTTCCTCCCAGGGTGCCGCACAACTACCGAGCATGTCCTGTCTACATAGCAAGATACTTGCTGACCAACTGATCCCACTCCTCCGTCCCAATCTTCTCCCCAGCTCCAGTAACCACCCCATTCTACTGTCTGCTGCAAAAGGTCAACCATTCTAGAAGGAAACTGTGAAGTCTTGGTTTTTCTGAATCTGACTTCATTTAGCATAACATCTTCCAAGTCCCTCCATATTGTTAGAAATGACATAACGTCATGCTTTCAGTGGCCTATTACACAACAAAAAGCAAAACCAAACAAATGAGATAACGTCAAACTAAAAAACTGGCAAAGGAACAAAAGAGTGAAAAAGACAACCATTTATCTGAAAGAAAAAATTTGAAACTATGTACTAACAAAGAGTTACTAATATCTATAATACATTAAGAACTCAGGTGAGTCAATAACAATAAAATCTAATAAGCAAATTACACTGGTCGGAAGATCTGGACATATTTTTTCTCAAAAGAAAATATAAAAATGACCCACAAGGAATAATTAAATCCCAACTGGTCAAGGCCTCAAAATAATGTTTGTGTCAATCAAACATGTTTGATGAATTACTTTTATCTTGTAAACTCTCGAGTATGGATTGGTTGAGAATGTCTGGAATGCAGGACTCAAAGT